TATACATCCTTCGTGGAAAGTAAAACCTTATCATTTTAAAAAAAATTTTACATGTAGTGTTTTTTTAATACATTGTTAATTTTGGGAAAGTAAAACTTTTGAAGACTTCTGGTGACTATGCCTTTTTAAATGGGCTTAAATGAACCCAATCCAAGTAAATGTAAAAGTTCTGAGTATCTTTCTAGTGTTAGGTATGTCATACATAAATTTAGAGATTCATTGATAGCCATTCAATATTTACATATAAATGTAAATAAATGAGAGCAAAATAAATCCAATTAGGAGATATTTTTGACATGTGAAGTTTCAAGAACTTAACAGAGATGAGTCAATGTCAGCAAAAGTCATTGACTAAGAGGGCTTCCACTTGTTTATATTATTTAGCTTTGACAGTTGATCAATCCTAGTCTACAAACCTGACTAGTCATTCCTTGCAAAGTGAGACAACATATTTATGGATCAACACAAACAAATGAAGTCTCTTTCACATTCACAGTCACAACAAAGTCACTCAGAGTTTGCATTAGTGATGTCTCACAGTGTTTCCCACTCCACAAATACTTAGGAAATTCTCTATAACAGTAAATCTGAATGTAAAATAAACCTTCTGCATGAGACTAGACTAAGAATTTAGCAATAATAGCAAAGGGAATAGGAGTAACTACAAGAGAGAGAAGCAGTTATGGTTCCTTTGGGATTCCCCACATAAGCACTTTTTCTACTTCTGTGTGCAAGTGATTTCCTTTTTCCCCTTGGGGAACTACAGGCAACCTAAAATCACCTGGCCTTTAGTACCTAGGTAGCTAGATGAGACTATCTGCAATTCTGTTTAGCTAATGGAAAGAAAGGAATTTAAGAGAAAAACTGCAGAGAGAACCACAAGGACAAAGACAGGAAAAAATGGAAAATGAAAAGGAAAAGAAGTGTACAATGCAGGGATGTGAGGAAGGTGCTAATGTGTATAACTGACAAATAAAATTGTGTATACAGTATACAATGTGACTCAATGACCATACACATTGCAAAATGATTTCACAATTAAGTGAGGTAACATATCCATCAATTCACAGTTACTTGGTATGTGTGGTGAAAATGCTTAATACCTACTCTCTTAAGCAATTTTTCAGTATATAATAAAGGATATATGTGCACCATGCATTAAATCTCCAGAACTTGTTCATTTTATAAGTGAAAGTTTGCACCACTCGGTCAACACTTACCCAATTAGCCTCACTCCCCATTTCCTGCCAACTACCTTTTTACTCTCAACTATTTTTGATCTACTGACATAGCAGCTTCACTTAGCTCAACCTAATACACTAGAATTCTTTGCTATAGCTAAAATGAATGAGGTATATATATATTCATGCCACTGGAGAAATAATTTCCACAAAAACAAACAAAACATAGAAAGAAAGAATGTAGAATACATACATATACATACATACATACATACATATATATATATGTATATATATATATATATATTCTGGAAGCACACCAAGAAAATATCAACAATTGCTCTGAGATGAGAGATCTGGGGTAAGAGAGAGATTACCTAGCACCCTTTCACACTACCTGTGTGCCTTATTGAGTGCTTATTTTGCTTTCTCAAGTAGGAAAAGTCTGGACAATCAAACTGTAAGGCCCTTGAAAATACAGGCATATTTCATTTGCTGTACTTTGGCTGCACTTGAGACATTGCATTTTTTACAAATTGGAGATTTGTGGCAACCCTGCTGAGCGAGTCTGAAAGTGCCATTTCCCACCAATATGTGCCTACTTTGTGTTTGTATGTCACATTTTGATATTTCTCATGATACTGCACTTTTTCAATATTACTATAATTGCTATAGAGATCTGCTATCAGTGATTTTTGCTATGACTATTGGAACTGTTTTTGGGCACCATAAAATGTGTCCCATAAGATGACAAACAATAAATGTTGTGTGTTTTTACTGCTAAGAAAGGAAAGTTCGAACACTCTTTCTTCAAAGGCCACAATAAATTTAAAGTTATTTACTAAAATATTTACTTATTTAAAACATTGACCAGCATTTACAAGAAAGAACAGTTCAAATAGGGTAATTAAAATTAATGACCTTTTATCGATTCAAACCTAAACTGGATACCAAGCAGCATTACAATCTTAAGTACCTTAAAAAAAAATTTAAAAAGTACTACGTTTAATGGAACACTATACATATATATATATAGAGAGAGAGAGAGAAAGAGAGAGAATGAGAACTGCTAAACTTACCTTTCAGTTTCCAGTCTTTAATTATGATCCAAATAAGAGGGAGGGGAAAAGACCTTTAGAAAAAGACACACCCTGTATCATTTCTCAGTCACTCATTTAAGAAATAGTTTGACATGTAAGTACAACTCATTCTGCTCTAGGGCTTTTGTGTATTGAAGCAAACACACTTTATCAGAGAACTTTCATATACCTGCAGTGTAAGATGTGTCTATATTGCAGGTAGGTGTGTACGCGTGCCCTACACACCATCCCAGGCTGCCACTCAACCAGGCTGATGCTGCCACTGTAATTACAAGCTGTCAGATCTAGTGTCCTCTGATCTTCAGGATGTATGAGCAAAAGCTACCTCTGTTATAAAAATGACTGGGCCTTGGGCTAATCCTAGGACTTCCTTCTCCTGGATAGGCATTCCCATCTACATACCTGTGGAGGGAATCAAGAGAAGGAGTATCACTTTCTAAAGGTCTTTCCCCCTCTTATTTGGATCATAATTGAAGACTGGAAACCAAAATAAATCCAGCAGTTCTCATTCTATGAAATTCCACACTGCTTCATTTTCTTTCCTAAAAAACAATATTATGTCAGAGATGTAACTGATGACAGTCTGTCCTGGGGAGTGAGGGGGGGTGTCAAGCAAGGAGGTTAGAGGCTGGTTAGCCTTAGTGGTCTCAGGCCCTGATTTCTGGCCTCTTAATGGAAATGCTGATGAACTTATATATACTTGTATGAACTGGTATAAAATGAATTTTTGAAATTCAATAAAACTGTATTGAAATTTATTAATTAATTACTAATTATCTCTAATCTTGACAAAATGTATGAACAAAATAGTTTTATTAGAGTAAATAAAATAAAAATACAGGAGTCTTTTTAATTCACTTAGTCTCAATTAGGATACTTAATACCAAACCATAGATAATATCAAACTTAAAGAGAATTTTAACTATTGCCATGAATTGATTACACCTACACATTTTAGAGATATTCTAACAGACTTGTTTGATTTTACTCAATTCAAATTATAGCCATCTCTAAATTTCCTTTCAAACAGAACAAATTTACTGGTTAATTCTGACATGAGGAATTTTAACCAATTCAGAATACACAGAATATTCTTTTTTTTTTTTTTTTAAACAAAAACAAAAACCTGCCCTCCCTGGTGGCTCAACCGGTTAGGACACGGCACTGCAAGCTGACCACAGCCGCTTCAGTACAAATTCGCCCAGGCCCTGGGGGTAACCCACATAGAGCAGCAGACCTCTCCTGACACACCCGCTGCTCCTCTTAGCAGTGTACTTCGCCTGTTTTGCTCCCCACTCTGTCTCTGGTGATCCTCTCACTGCCCCTGCACCTCTGGCTTGTACCCCAGCTCTGTATAAATAAACAAATAAATCTTAAAAAAAAAAAAACTGCCCATTATAACACAAGTTTATGCTCTTTAAAAATAGTATTTTAAATGTCAAAGGGACTGAGGAAAGTTCCTATATTATTTAGCTTTAACTTCCAAAAATACATTAAACCTCATATATTTAATTTATTACAAGGTCCATTAAATTCAAAGACATCAGTATTAAAAGCATTACAAGATGTACACTTTAAAAATGACTGACGCAATCCTTCACTCTTTCCCAAGTGCATCTTATTAACAGTTGTGTTTATGCTTACACATTTATTTTAGAAAATGAGACAGGCTAATACGAGCATGAATCCATAGGCATATAATAAAAGTTCTATTTTCATATTGGAATCCATTAACCTTAGGAAACAACTTCTCATAAAATAGACAGACAAAGCTTTCACAAATTTATTTTTAAAGAGAGCACACAAATCCAATGATTTTATTGGCTCCCTTCTCAAATTCCTCCTTAAAGTCCCCCAGTGATAAATGCGAGGTGATTATGAAAATTAGGATATATAAATAACTTAAGTCGCGAGGATTTGCTAAGTGTGTATGTTTACGGTCAAACTGAAACTCAATTTTGAACTTTCACAAGGCCATCAGTACCTGCTACATAACCAAAAGTAACAGCATTCTAATCTCCATATATAACAAAGATTACATTGTACTATTTAAAATAAAGCAACAACAAAACCCTGGGCGTGTTGATAAGGTCTGACCTCTGCACTTGGTGGGAATCTGGAACACTAAAGCCTGGCCTGCTGTTTGGGCCGCTAAGAGCGCACGCAGTTAATCGAGAGCAGTATTTATTCCAGGCGCTGGCTCATCTCTGCCTCCCAAAAGGGCCCCGAAGGCAAAGCGTCTGAGTCACCTCCCATCACCCTAGCGGAGTGGGCCAGAGGAGGGGCAGGCTGAGACCAGGGGCAAGGTAAAGAAAATCATTGCTGCTCGGGAAGAGTCGGACTGCCCTCCGCTCCCTGCGCAACGCACAAACTAACGAACCACTGAACAGCTGGGAGAGGGGGGGAAAAAAACCAAAACCAAAAAAAAACAACACACTCCTTTCAAGTTCCCTAAGTGGTAACTCTCCCCAGCGCCTCAGCTTTTTCCCACGCTCCCGCCGAGCCGCTGGTTCCCAGCTCCTGCGTCCCGCCCGCCCAGCTCCGGGGTAGCCGACCCGCGGCCTCCAGCGCGGGGCCGGGAATCCCTCCCTGCAGCGCCGCGGTCAGGCCCCCGGGCCACGCCCCCAAATCAAACCCCGCCCCCAACTCGGCTCCCCAGGTTCCCGGGATCACCCCGCGCCCCAGGCGCCTCTCTCCACTTCCTGGTCGTCCGCCTTACCTTGGTCCGAATCTGCCCGGAGGTGGACACTTTGCGGATCAGTTTCTGGGGTCCCTCTTGCTCCGCTTCGCTGTCGGATGAATCCTCTCCCGGCCCCGCCGGGGCAGCGGCGGAGGTGACCGTGGCGCCAGCCCCAGCGGCCGCTCCTCCCGCGGCGCCCGGAGGGTGGTGCTGGCTACCAGCCCCGGCCATCCTCTCCGACTCCTGCGGGGACACAGCACCGCCCGGCAGGGGCGGCGGGGGCGGTCAGTGGGTGGGCTCCGTCCGAGCGGGGCCGGGAGTCCCGCACCCTGCTGCAGCCGCCATCTTCCGCTCCCCCTGCCGTCCTGGTGGCTAAGATCGCGGGGGACCAGATTCCCTCCCGGTAGTTAGCCAGCCTCCTCCTGGGACCCGCCAGAGCAGTGAAAGCAATGGGACACCCAGAACTCGGACCCCTGCCCACCTGGGACTCCTGCAAACCCAGTCTCGGGATATTGAAGAGTTCCTGACACAGGGTAGGATGAAGGTTGACAAAGATGGGGTGATAGTGATATGAGCTCAACCTCCCACTCTTCCATGGGTCTGGGTTCCCTAGAATGGACGAGAGGACGGGGAACAGGAAACCTTAGCCAACCCGAGCAAGCTGGCAGTGGAGATGTTCCTTCCCTGGAATCCGGGCAGCAGGGGCAAGGAAGACTTCTGGGGTAGAAATGGAACCTTAGGGCTTCCTCCCTACTCCTTTGAGTCACCCCGCCACCTCCTGGTCCCAGAAACTCTCCAGAGTGACTTGGGCCTCGCTGCACAGTTCGCACTAAGTCCCCTCCTTCCAGGAGATGTATGGGCGCTTCCCCTTGTCTGTATCATGACCCTTCAGTCCTTCCTGGTAAACCGTACCTTACCCGCCGCCGCTTTAGAGTTTGGTTCCTTTCAACTCGGCGGACCGTGAGGTTTAGTTTCTGGCCCCGGCCCAGGCCCACCCCCGTCCCCAGCCGGCGCACACGGAAGAGAAGAGCATTTTTCCGGGAGGTTCCACTGAGCTCTGAGAACTTTTCGTTCAGAAAGAGCAATCCCTTTGCTAACAGGAAACTGGGAAGGGCGTGGAGAGAGAGCAGAAACAAGCGAGCACACGCAGCGCAAGACGACAGAATGCAAAATAAAATGTCTAAGCCAAAGCGCTAACCGAGACTGCCTGGAAGAAAACAATGCGCCGGAGTTTTGTGAACACCAGTGCCCCAGCACTAGAACTTTGGAAGTCCTAGGACAGCCACTCCCTAACCCGGACGGGAGTCTGAGGAAATGGGATCAACAGGCGGCTGCCACCGCTCACACTCGTCCCCTGCAAGGCAGTTAAGAGGACTTTTCGGAACAGCAACCCACAGGCCATTTGTGCACACTCAGGGTCAAAGAACCCTTGCAGGTGTGGGAGGGCTTGGGGGATATGACAGCCAATGACATTCCTCTTGCCATCCAAAGAAAACTTCAAACTGGAGTTAGCTGTATTTTTAAGGAGTACAAAAAGTCCCTGCCAAACTCTGTAGCCTCTTCACACTTCGGTAAAAACACTCAGTTTTGTTATCATGCTCATGCCTTTTATCCACTGGTCTTTTTTTCAGTTGACTTGACCTTTATTTTATTTTTCCGGTTGACATGACCTTTAAGGGTTCTCCAAACAGATTCTCTTGGGATTTTTTTTTTTTTGGTTGCAATCTTATTCTCAGCAGTAACTTGATTTACGTTGTCAGAACCAATCGTCCTAAGAGGTTCTAAAAAACAATGTGCAATTTCAATACTTGATATCCACACTGTAGGTTAAAGTGGTTAAAACATAAAAATGTACTGGTTTAAATCTTTAAAATAGACAATGAATGTCACAGAACACTAATAGAGACTGCTTTTAAGGCTCCACTTTTCCAGCTCCAAACCTCTTCTTTAGGGGAGAAAGGAGTTGGGCAAAATAAACCCTAAAAGCCCTTATGACTTTGTTCATATCTACAAAGAACAAACATATTGCTTTGAAGGGAATTTTTTAAGAGAAAAAAAGCACATAATCAAAATACTGCTCTTTATCTGTATCTAGCTCTTTGGTCAATGACAAGTCCAATGGTTTGGCAATGTAGGCAAGCAGTACAAGGCCTTCCAAAAGAAGCAACCAACTTCATATCCCTCTTTTAATATAAAGAAACTGAGGCCCCAAAATCACAAGCTGGAAGCAAAGTTAAAATCATGTAATAGCCTAATGTTCCACTTACTTTACCACACTGTACAAAAGTCAGTCTCTCAACTATCACATTTCTATTCATACTTTAGACTCTCAAGTCTTATATGGTAACATTTTGCAGAACCCAGGCAAATTAAATTGGAAGGTATTGTTTAATGCCCATGCCTATTTTGTGATCTGAATATGAGAATCTTTTGACTCCTTGATTCAAACACTGATTACTAAAAGATAACTTAAGGCCCTCCCTGGTGATGCAATGGGTTAAAGCACAGCACTATGAAGCTACAGCAGCCACTGCAGCAGGAGTTCCTTGATCCCCAGCCAGGGAGCTGACCCACATGGTGTGGCAGACCTCTCCTGACCCACTAGCTGTTCCCCTCAGCAGTATATTTCAATACATCTGCCTGTTCTGCTCCCCACTCTGCCCCTGGTGAATTCTCTCACCCCCTGCACCTCTGGCGTGTACCCCAGGTTTGTGTGCATAAGTAAATAAATCTTTAAAAAAATAAAAATAAAAAGTTATACCAGTTTAATGTACTTTGGGCAAGTAATACCTCAAAGTGCAGGTATTCATAACTTCATAAAAAATTCATTTCAGTCATAGCTCTTCAAAGACTCCTGAAACAAATTTTAAAATTTGGTTATGGCTTTGAATGTACAGCCAGTCTTAGCCTACTCCTGTTATAAACAAGTCTGCTCCACAGTTTGCCTAGCACATAGAATGCTCTGAGTGAAAATACTGTGTAAGAAAATGAAGACTGTCTTGTCCTTTCCCACAAAGACAGTTCATAACTGCCCCCCACTTTTAATCACCTTTTCTGAAGAGACTACTTTAAAAAGTCCTAGTTTAAGGTACTTGACCCACTATCTTCTTCTCAAGTTTTATCTGTAAGTTAGATGTTTCCAGAATGAATATCCAATCTCTATATTACATATCTGCAGTGCACTTCACTTCCCTTAAAAGTATAACAACAATGTCAAGAGCTCCCTATTTTCAACCATTTTAATGTAGCTCAAAATGGTAACTGAAACAAATTTCAGATATGTGGTATATTACATTATTTATTTGATTTACAGGATTACTTGACTTTTTCCTTTCTTGGTATTCTCAGTCTTCAAATAGCTCTTTAGATGTGGCTTACATATTTCTTTTATTATTTTTACTTTGAAATTTTTGTTTGGAACATACATATCACAAACACACTATTAACAACTTAGACATATGCCTTGTAGACACTGCATTGAGGATGAAATGGGAATAAGTGAAGCTACCATTAACCTAGGTTTTTACTTTAAAGGGCTTCCTGCCCATTTTTAAATAGTTCTATTATGTTGAAGATTAATGTTAGAGTCAAATCTCATTCTAATATCAATTACGAATATTGTATACAATTGTATTCTGCATTACAATACTACTTATAGCTACTTATAACAAAAGTTTCAGTCATTACTGGCAACTTTTAAGTCCCATATGTTCTATAGTTTTACAGTAAAAATATCATAAACATGAAGATTTCTACATGTGCATCCTGAAAAACTCAAACAGGCACTGTGAATACAGTAATATTCTAGTACTCACTTTCCTAATCACTGCAAAGACTATTTACTCCAGGCGGAACAAATACAGGCCTATTTTCAAACTTTTCATTTCAAATTACTTCCATAATACATTGTTATAACTTTGGACTTTAACCTTCAAACCTTTACAAAAATTTCCTCTGTTGCTACCTCACTGAGAAAAATTTTGAAAGGACTCCTAATGGCAACTGCACACACACACATGGTTATCACTGTACCTCAGGGAAAAAATTTTATCACCTAGACTTAATGCATTAGCATACTTACATCCTCTCATTTACATTTTGGTCCTTTTTCTTTTGAAATTCTTCCCTTCCTACTTTTCCATTAGCTAGAACTAGATAAAAAAAAAATTGAAAATCACAACAAGTTTTGGCAAGTGGAATATACTCCAGCATCTCTCCACTAAGAACTACTTTACAAATGCACCCACGCTTTATAAATTTAGGTTGCAATTCAAATTCCCCATATCTTCCCCATATTATTGAAGAGTAAGTGGTATTTGACTTAAATATTTTCTTACCTATTCCTACCACCTACTTTTTTAAAAAATTGATTGGAAATTTAGGTAATGACTATTTTTACTGATTTGATAACATTTCAAAGCTAGCATTAAAGAAAGCTGAATGCTAACATGTATCTTCTTTACGTCCAATACCCTACCACAGGAATAAGGCTAGTAGTCTGTTAAATGCCCTTAACTTATAAACTAACTTCATTTCATCTCCAAATAAAAGAACATCATAAAGTCCAGCAGTTGCTTCTTAGCGCCAACATGGATGCACATCAAGCAAAAACTGTTGTTCTCTGTACTCAGCATCCACTCCTGAGATAATGTTTGCTCTCCTGTCTTAGCAGATCCATACAGAATCATGCCAATGTGTCTTACAGTCCATCCAAAGAATGAGGACAACCTTACAAGTACAGCATTATCCATAGAGGGGTGAATGTTAACATTGCCTGTTCAATATCAAATATTCCTTTTCAAAATGTAAATCAGAGAACTTTGACAGTAAAGTATTAAATTTACCTATAATTGAATTCAAAAAGGTTTTAAATAACTGCAAGATGATGTTCAAGTCAAAGCAGATGTTCATAACCGAAGGTCTTAGAGGGTCCACAGATTAGACTTCAGGAAATCCATAATTTCCCTTGACATTTTATTAAGATTATTATATGTTTGTTTGCATAGGTACATTTTTGGAAAGAGTCCATAGTTTTTGATAGATTCTTAAGGGGAATTGACCCAAGAAAAGTTTAACAATTTCGATTATTTTTTTTGTACTTTCAAAGCACATTTAAACTGATATCCACCCCCCCATCTCTGAATGATTGAAATAACTAACATTCAAATATTCTTTTTTCCCCCCTAATTTATTCTGCCACTTTTCTTGGTCATGACACTTTGGTAGTTTAG